AATTTGACGGAAAAAACGTTGTATAGGTCCTGCTACCTTTGATTGTTGTCGGTATTTGGGACGACCTAACGACCGCCTAACAAAGGTTGCAGGGTGGCCATTTCCCAAGGGTGGCAGATTAGTCAAAGTCATAATTAATTAAGACGCTTATTTAAAATCTACTGCTATACTATGAATAAATAATTGTATTAATAAATTGAATTTAAATCAATACTTGTTAATATAAAATGTTTAAAATCTTTAATATGCTTATAGCCAGTAATTAATATAGCATTAAATTATTGTATTACTTATGTTATTTTACTGTTACATTACAGTTTGCTAATTGATTTATTTTTCAATTACGTTTTATAGAAAATGTAATTTTATGATTTAAAATTAATTTAAATATGCAAATTAACTAGATGTAATGGTATTTAAAAATAATAATAATAAATTAATATTTCTAATAATTAATTAATAAGTTTTCTTAACAAAATTACGTTTTTATTTAACCAATTGCTGTTGATAAATTGGAGAATGACTAACGTAATATATTAACTATTAAACGATATTAATCCATATGGACATTATATCATTTAATTCAATTATAATTTATTTCAATTTTAAAACTGTATAGATTTGCATACATTTTATTTCAAACACATTTTTATTTAACAAAAATATGTAAAATACAAATTGCTTAAGGTACATAAAATAATTTGGAAAATAAATCTAGATTAAATTCTTATATTAAGCAATATATTCCATTAACACATCCAACCATTCAGAGGGTGCATAAATGCAAGTATTCACCAGTAATTTATTAGCCAACCCATGCATCGGTGTGTACCTAACCCGGGGCTCAGCATTATGTACGGCATCGATCAAATCATCCACAACAACATCCTTAGTACGGGTTGAGTGCCAGATGTCAAACGTTTTCAAAACCACCTGTTTCAATTTGGCGAGATAATTTTCACCATAAACTTGTTGTATATTCTCACGCGTGTCAGCCCACGTGCGGCATAGGATGTCCACATTAGTTTGAATGTCAGTCATTTCCGTACGGAAATACGTGGGCTCTATGGTTGACACCCGGACCCGGAATTTCCGCATTTCGCGCCTAAGTGTGTCCGAGAAGGAAACGACCGCGTGTTTGGACATACAGTAATAGCCGATATTAGTGGGCGACATGCGTCCGCACATACTGGCAATGTTCACTACTCTACCTAGATTTATAATTATTACATAGTGTGTTATTAAATAATTATTAAACAATTAATAAAAACATTATAATATAATTTAATATAGTCACTGATCTTGAACTAATTTGCATAATTTGTTAATTACTGTATGATTGATATATACTTAAAAAAAGTATTGCAATAAAATAAATACTACGTATAACATTTTATAAAATCTAACAATTATAATATACTATACAACTTTTTAAAAACCACGATTACCTTTTGAGGCCCGGATAAGTGGTAGAAAAATTCTGGTCACTCTAATCACGCCAAATGTGTTGACCTCAAATACGGGTTTATACACATCGTCAGCGCCCCACTCAATAGGACCCGCGGTAATTACACCGGCATTGTTTACAATTGCCCACAGACAATCACCCTCACCATGGTCAGCCAAATGCCGTTCAATATGATCACGTACTTTGTACACCTGGTCATTGCTGGTCACATCCATCGCCATTACATGCATTTTGTCGGGAAAGCGGGCTTTTGTGGGCAACTCTATAGCGCCGGCACTGGACTCGGATATGACGGTCGCGTATACTCTAAACCCGTGTTCATTGAGACGCACAGCCAGTCTGTGACCAAAGCCGGTGTCACAACCTATAAGGTAAGCAT